AGTGGCAGGACTTCGTGCGGGACATGCCGTGGCTGGCGCTGCCCTACAAGGAGAAGCACAGGAAGGTGAGCGGCCGGCCTCGGCGGCGCCCCCGGCCTCCGTGCGCTGCCCGCGAGTTTCCTGGAGCCCACCACCCCCGCTGCTCCCTGTGCCCTTTCTCCGTCTTTGCTCGCTCTCCCCCTCCTGCCTGTCTGGGTCCCCCTTCCCCTCCATGCTCACACCCCTAATCCAGGACTCCGCGGGTTTGGGGCTCCCGGTCGCGGCAACTCCTGCGGTGCCAGTGCCAGGCTGCATCCGCGGTGGGAAGTTTGACACCCCTTGGTTTCCTGGACCCGGGCTTGTGCCTGAGGGGTCGAGAGTCCTCCGGGGTGCTCGGCGCCCGGCCTTCCGTCCCCACATGTTGGAAGCCTCGCGTAGGGGCCGACTGCAGTCGGGGGCCCGGATTCGGTGACAGCACCCCCCTCCCCCCCCAGTTGCCGCCCCCGGCCATAGGTGCCAGGAAGAGCCGTTTCCTTCACCCACTTGACACCCTGCGGGTACCTGTAGTCAGTGGGGGAGGGCGCTAGCCCCCTACCCATAATGCCCAAACGAGGAAATTTCCTTTCTTTCCGAGAGAAATCTGCATTCGGGGGGCTTGCTGCTCTCCTTCCCCTGTGACCAGGGGACTTGGGGGCCGAGTCCACCCCGCGCCCTGGGGAGCCCACCGCTGACCGTGGTTTTGGGCGAGAAGGGAGCGCACTCTAATCCCCTCTTACCCCTCACACCCCCTTTCCCTGGCTGAATTGGTGACCACCGGGGAGCTTTTCATTGTCTAGCTGTCCAGCTATCCTCCCCAGATGCTTCCTAGCCACAGGAACAGCCCCGCCTTGCAGACCTCTAGTTACGGGGTGGGCCACTGTTGTCTTGGCATGCTTAGAGCCAAATGCCGAACTGATCCCGTAGATGCAGGTGGACTGGAAGAACTAGAATTTAGGGAAATTTATACCTTGCGGTCAACTTTTCGTTTCTCCCAGAAATAAAATTAGTTTGAGTGTCTGAGTATATCAGTCCGATAAAGATGTCTATTTTAGTAAAACAAATCCAGGAAATTTCGTAATAAGTGGAAACAAAAGGTTTTGGAGCACTCTTGCTTAATTAGTGTGCCTGTTGCAATGGTGGATCCGGTCCCTTCCCTTAGGAGAATCTTAGTTTACTTACGGAGTGGACTGGAGAAGGACTGTTTTGGGGAGTTTGGGTTCCTCTAGGGAGGGAGGATGGTAACACATGCCATGTGTTTCCATTATGTGTACTGTGTCTTGTTGAAAACCATGATTTAGATTTAGTGAGAGAAAAAGGCTTATACTGTGACCCCAAATGTCTCGAGTAAATCATCCATTCCTAAGCAGTGTAAGGTACAGACTTGGGATTTAAAGTATGAAATACAGTTTAACAAATACACTTTGTAAACTTAACATTGAAGAAACATGGGCTCACTAACCACTTCGAGGCAAAACTTGGCCTTTTAGCCACGTTTAAGGTTATTTTTGCTCATATTTGATTTGCATGATTGGTAGGTCATGAATATGCATGACCAGGACTTTTTGCTTTAAAATACGAGAATTCTTTTTTTCCCTGGGTGGTGGCTTTTACGATCCTTTTGGGGAAAAATAATGTTCAGAAAATGATTTACTAAAAAACATTTTCATTGTTATGGCAAGTTTCTGTTGTAGACCTAAATCTGTTTAAAATAATGTCCTTGTTGGGCAATACAAGTGATTTCTACATTTTGAAGACATACAATGATGGTAAAATGTTACAGACCTAAGGCTATTGTTTATGTTTTTCATAGTGGGGGAGATAGATTTGCTGGATAGTAAAAACATGGAGCAAATTGAGATGTTTTGCAAATGTTTAAAACTCTTGTCTTAAAAAAGGAGAGTGTCGGATAGACTTGGGCCATGCCTGGCTCTCTGTGGGTCTGGCCAGTGCTTTTGTATACTGAAAAGTGTTCTGTGGCCCCAGTCCAGACCTGATTCCACTGGGAGGAGAGTCTCAGTGACACAGGACAAACTCTCATCATGAAAATACACTTCAGAGTGCTGCACGTACCCAAACGATAGTGCGTTTGCATCTTAAATTTTTTTTTTTGTTTGGAGTTTTTCTGACTTGCATCCTATCATTCAGGTAGTTCTCTAAAACCAGCCACATTTCTGAGGAGGTAGTTCTCAGCCCCTCATGTTCATGAGTAGGCAACTGAAGATCTCATCCCAGAAATCTTCTTACTGGTGGTGAGACACCAAGTAAAAAGACTCTAGAGGTGTTTCTTGTGGAGAACATATTCTTGGGAATTACAAAAGTTACTCAGTTTGAAAGGAATGGTTTCTCCCCTTGAAATCATACAGCTCTAGAACAGATTCCTTCTCTGTAATTTTGAGTTATTGTCTCTCCTGTTTGATATTGGGGTGCTTAGATGTCTGAGAGTTCTGACACAGTCTCTGAGCTGTGGTGCTAGTTGCCACCTAGTTGATTCTGACTCATGGCGACCTCATGTGTGTCTGAGTAGAACTGGGCTCCATAGGGATTTCATTGGCTGATCTTTCAGAAGTAAATCGCCAGGCTTTTCTTCTGAGGCACCTCAGGATGAACAGAACCTCCAGCCTTTCAGTTAGCGGCAGAGCACATTAACCGTTGACATCACTCAGGGACTCCAATTCGCCATAGGAACAGTGGCACCCACAGTGCAAGGTGCTTGGATGGGTGGACTCTTAAGCCCTAGCAAATGGACCCTGGGTTGTTTCACCAACTATAAAAATGGCTCTAAAGAAGGGAATTTTGTTTTACACTGAAGGGAAACTAAAGTTCCAGAGTACTAATTTTTTTGAAGTTCCATTAACATTTGTTCTTTAAAATCATTCCTAGACTTCTTCCCATTGGGATAACTAAGGATTATGGTTCTAATTAGTTATTGGCTGCCATTTCTCTAAAGAAAATTGAAAAATGATGGTGGGGAAAGAAAATGCCATGTGGTATTTCTTTTCTTCTGCTTTTATGGATTTCCTCTTTATATAGTAAGAAAGTCTGGAGATAACCATATATGTTAAGCCTGTGTTTTGCCTGATTCTTCTCACCTGGATTGGAGCTGTGAGAGAACACCTAAAGAAAAAGATTCCAGCATCTTTTTTTTTTTTAATTCTTTTTGGAAGGTTGCCTTGTTTCTACTTGTTTTAGTGGTAGGTGCAAAAGTAATTGAAGCTGCAGTGTTTGGACTTCCAAAACCCACGCGTATATAGCTGTATAGAAATCGTAATTAGATGATAATAGAACTTTATGTGCGTTTATGAGAGCAGTTGTGTCAGGAAACCTGTAATCCTGACGTTAAGGCAGTCGGACTTGTTTTAATAAGTAGTTTTGGTTATTTATTTTTGGTAGACGTTTTTCAGATTTCTGAAAAGAGAATCTGATGACTTGGAAGGTTGGAAGGATCTATCTAGACTTTGGTGACTTGGTCTATCCCTTTTGATTAGTGTAAGTTACTCAGTTGTCATAACTGGAGAGTTACAGGTTCACGTCAGCATGGTAGAAGTGAGTGCTGGTTTGGGTCTTCAGACTACAGGAAAACAGTTGGTCATTGTGGGTGTGCTGACGCCAAGGGGTGGAGGACCACTCACCTCTCTCTGAACAGGTTTGTTGGGCTCTGGCTTGGTCCCAGAATTCCCTCCTCACCCCAGCCCTGCAGAGAGGGGAAGAGAAAGTCTGGGTGGGCAAGGTGCAGAGGCAGGGGTCTTTGGTCCAGCATGCCTGGTCCACCTGCTCCAGCCAAGGCCAGTGAGCCCATCCTCCTGCTGTCCTGTGGTGGGTTGCTTGCTGTGGCTGCTGTGGGTGGCTCAGGAGGGCTCAGACCAAGTCAGAGGCTCAGTCTAGAATTTACCTGAATCCCTTCAGCTCTTTGGATGGGGCAGCGTTGAGCAGTCTTATGCCTCCATCTCTCCCAACTCTTCCTCCTTCAAATCCAAATCCTACCCACTGAGAGAACAATTTCTAGGGCACAACTAGATTACTGTGCCTTTTCTTCTTATTCACTTGCAAGGTGGTAAAAGATGGCAAAAAGGCATGGCTTTGAAAATTGGGCCTTTCTGCCTTCTTTCTAAGGAGTCTTGGAAGAAATATAGCCAGAATGCTCCTTAGAAGTAAGGATGGCGAGACTACGTCTCACATTCTTTGGACATGTTATCAGGAGGGATCAGTCCCTGGAGAAGGACATCATGCCTGGTACACTAGAAGGTCAGCAAAAAAGAGGAATATCCTCAACAAAAGGCTGCAACAATGGGCTTAAGCGTAACAATGATTGTGAGGATGGTGCAGGACTGGGCAGTGTTTCATTCTGTTGTACAGAGGGTTGCTATGAGTTGGCACCTGAAAACAACAACCTCAGAAGTCTGGACCAGTCAGGACAGGCTCACACCAGTGACTGTGTTTCCAGGACTCACATCAGTCTAATAAGAAACAACAGTCGGATTAAAGCAATAAGAGTAATTTTCCTCGAGAGGCTTTTTCCCTCGTTCCGTTATTTGTAATGTATTTTTAAATCTCATTTTTCTTTTCCGCAGAATGAAACAGTCTAGTGTGTGGCTAAAAACTTGGTCTCTTTTGTCCACCTGTCTGAGTTCAGATCCTAGCTCCGTCACTTATTAGCTATATGATCTTGAGCAAGTTGCTCTGCATCTCTGTAGTACAGGTTCCTCATCTGGAAAATGGAGATGATAATGTTGTTTTGTTGCGTGTCATCGAGTCGATTCCAACTCACAGCAACCCTATATGACAAAGTAGAACTGCCCCATAGGGTTTCCTAGGCTGTAATCTTTATGAGAGTAGATTGACAAGTCTTTTCTCTCTTGGAGGGTTGGTAGGTTTGAACCAGTGACTCTGGGTTAGCAGCTGAGTGCTTAACCATTGTGCCACCAGGGCTCCTTAGAGATGATAATAGCACCTGCCTTATAGGATTGTTGTAAAGATTACATGAGATAAATATACACATATAGAGTTTAGAGAGTCAGGGGCCAATTCAACGGCAGCTAACCAACAGCAG